TAATTAACACTAATTATCTCCTCAAGGCATTTATAGCTGAAAGTGTAATAAAGTTGGTAGAATTACCGACAATATGTAAAGTAAAAGGACACAAGTGCAACTAATGTGACATTTTATTGTGGCAACGTTTCACTCTCCAGGAGCTTTATCAAGCCATTACAAACAATACATGGACACAGAGGGTATATAAAGGCTCAGAGTGAGGTGCAATACTAGTGAGGTACCATTTCGATGTTCACTAGTGGTAGTAGTAGTAGTAGTGACAAAAGTAATACAATATGGTAGAGCAATTAATTCGTACATGAGTAAAAGGATATAAAAGCTATTACTTGGGTAACATAAAAATAGTTTGGACAAATATAGAGTGGTAAGAGGCAGCTTGTTTCAGTATTCACTCTCTGTAATGTGCTTTGTGTAGTATAACAGGAGAGACTGTGTGATGGCACGGTTTACTGTTTTCAGGAGGATTCTTGCTGGATTCTCATGTACGAATTAATTGCTCTACCATATTGTATTACTTTTGTCACTACTACTACTACTACTACCACTAGTGAACATCGAAATGGTACCTCACTAGTATTGCACCTCACTCTGAGCCTTTATATACCCTCTGTGTCCATGTATTGTTTGTAATGGCTTGATAAAGCTCCTGGAGAGCGAAACGTTGCCACAATAAAATGTCACATTAGTTGCACTTGTGTCCTTTTACTTTACATAGCTGAAAGTACAGGTTTACAAAGGATTTAAACATTATTGATGGTATCCAATACCAACAAGACAATGAATAAGAAATATACAAGCCTTGGTTATCTTTATTGCTGAAATGTTTTGCCTGTACAATAGGCTTCTTCAAATACAACATTGGAGGCATTAGTAGTGTGATGTCAGTCATTACGCTTGGTAGGTAGTGGTCAGTCCCTCAGGCTTAAGGGACTGACCACCACCTTTCAAGGTTGGTTACTAACCACATCAAGCTACTTTACCGTTTGAAGTGATATTTAGACTGAAGAAACCTATTGTACAGACAAAAATGTTTCAGAAATATACTTATTTTCCACAACAACTAGGTAGTGTTTACAGGTTTTGTTTGCAAGATGGAGAAAACTTTTCCAGGTATATACATTATGTAACTGAAAAAATCAAGGTTGTGAAGCTTAGTAAAGTTCACTAAGTTTATTTCTGTTTTATTATACAGTACATTATTTTGGGAAATTTTCTGTATAGTTACATAAAAGATAACTCTGGGTCCAACACATGTAGATTTCCTACACATCAAGGTGCCCTCCTCTTTAAGGAGGGTACCTTGATGTGTAGGAAACATCAACAGCATCAAGGTGCCCTCCTCTTTAAGGAGGGTACCTTGATGCTGTTGAAAGGCTCTTTGTCCAAGGAATTGGCACTGCCTGCCTCCTCTTTGCATAAAACTTGAACACGCCTCATTCTCCAGGCTTTGACTCGCAGAGGTTTATTGCTTCTCCATGAATAAAATAAAATAATACAGTGGACCCCCAGTTTACGATATTATTTCACTCCAGAAGTATGTTCAGGTGCCAGTACTGACCGAATTTGTTCCCATAAGGAATGTTGTGAATTAGATTAGTCCATTTCAGACCCCCAAACATACACATACAAACGCACTTACATAAATACACTTACATAATTGGTCGCATTGGGAGCTGATTGTAAACCGGGGGTCCACTGTATATATCAGGGGGCTGACAAGGGGTTGTTGAGGTGGTTTGGACATTTAGAGAGGAGCAAGCAAAATAGGATGAATCTGAAGAGAAGATGGGGTAGGGGTCACCCTAGGAAAGGCTGGAGGGAGTAAAGGTTTTGTGTGGAAGGTGCTTAGACATCCTGCAGTCACGTATAAGCATGTTAGATACATAGGAGTGGAGGCAAATGATTTTTTGGGACCTGAGCTGTTGGAGTGTAAGCAGGATAACATTTGTAAAGGGATTCAGGGAAACTTGTTAGCCAGACTTGAGTTCTGGAGGTAGGAAGTACAGTACCTGCACTCTGAAAGAGGAGTGGAGATATTGCAGTTTGGAGAGGCATCTGAATTAGTATCAGTGCACTTCTCACAAGACAGTGATAGTGTGAATGATGGTGAAAGTGTTTCTTCTTTTTTTGGGTCACTCTGTTTCAGTGGGAGACAGCCAGTATTAAAGTAATGGAGAAGTACAAAATGCATAAAGGGTCGTACAGTACCTGGGAATAGGATATAATCAGGTTTAATCTGAGGAAGAAGAGAGTAGCCCCAATTCATTGGATCATGAGCAACTTCAGTACCAAGGCACACACTGAAGTATAATCCCGCAGTGCTGTATGACCCTAGTGGGTTTAGCACTTCTTTTTGATGATGATAAAGACGTATACAGTAGGACCCCTGTATCTGCAGGGGATACCAAAACTGTAGATAGTAGCAAACACTATACAAATGTCATTTTTTGTTTACATACATACCCATTATAGTTTAACTGATAAATTACACGTAAGTGGAGAATTTTCATTTTTTTTCACTGAAGGGAAGCACTTCAAAGCTTCTCTTAAATTTTGAGCTGTATAATCCTACGGGATCAGCGCTTCCCCCTTGATTATGATGATAATCTTGGATTTTGAAGAACTTCCACTTCACTACTATTGCACTTTGAGGTCATTATCAAGCCAAATTAAAGGTTATTTTTGGGCCATGGTAAACAGTTGATACCAGACATGCGGATATGGAGTCCTACTGTAATCCGAAGAAATTCTGAAATGCATCCCTTCAAGGGGGTGTTTAGATGCCAGTGAAGGGATCTCGATTGCAGGAATACGAGCTACCTTTTCCTTTCTTGAATCAAAGTCAAAACATTGATTTAGCACAAACTATTATAATCAAATTAGGCACTAAACCCTTAGAACAAAGGTGTCTACCTTTGATGGGTTTCAAGAGTTTTCCTGCTCTCTAAGCCTGGGCCAGGTGTGTGTGATGCTTGTCTGGTCAACCAGGCTGTTGCTGCTGGTGGCCACACAGGTCTACATATCAGTCACCTGGCAGAGGAAATTGTCTGGTTCCACTGGAAGACGTCTACACTTGTTCCAGTAGTGTTTCTGATATCCTCTGGCTTTGTGATTATATAATTAAATGTGAAGCACATAAACCAAGTTATTGTACCACTAAATTTGTTACATGAATAATCATACATGTTTAAATACAAAATTAGACAATTAAAAAATTATATATATAGTAAAATAACGAAATCTTAGAACTATTAACTCCTGAAAAGATATCGAAGAAATCTCTCCTGATATTTTAATGATTAAATTTCTTTGGTTTACTGACTAGAAAATGTAATTAATGAAGAATTTCTGAAGCAGAGGAACAATTTATACTATCAGAAACGGTTATGTTTCAGGAACACTATTATGTTTAAGAGCACAATGCATACAGTTATGGTGACAAGCAAACTTGTTCAGCTAACAAATTTTAACATATGACCCTCCCCCCCCCCCAAAAAAAAAAAGCTTTCTTCAAACCTTTGTGGGAAAACAGAGTATAATTAGTAATATATTTTGCAATTAATATGCATGATTTAGATCCCGCCACTCCTTGTGCTAATTATATTATTATAATCAAAAAGAAGCGCTAAGCCACAAGGGCTATACAGCGCTGCAGGGTAGGGAAGGAAGCAAGGGAATTGGATGGCAGGAGGGAGGGGGGATGATCAGCAGGTTACAGAAAACAGCGGGGCAGGGGATAGTACGGGGGTAGAGGGTAGCAAGAGATACAAGTAGAAAGGGCTGAAAGTATCAGAATTTGTGAAGTAAGTCAGTCGTTGTCAAAAAGTCAATAAGAGAGTCCGGATGAAAGGTGGGTCCATCAGCGAGAAGGGAAGGTAAAGAGAGAGCAGCGGGGCGAAGACGACGACAGAGGTAAATTCTGCGTGCCGTTGATAAGTGGGGAGTCCAACAGAATGTGGCTGACTGATAATGGAGCTTGGCAATTTTCACAGAGAGGAGCAAGACGCCTCTCCATGAGATATCCATGAGTAAGACGAGTATGGCCAATGCGAAGA